TACGTGCTGAAATTCATGTCTCGCCATGTGGAAACCCTGCAAAAGTAGCGATAATTAAATCAGATCCAAGGAACACTCTTTTTACTCTGTTTAAGAAATCAAATCACATACATCGTGATTGTATCTAAGAATGCAAACCTCAGGATAATGTAATAGTGCATTTGCAACAATTAATCGACACCATAAATGCTATCTTGTTAAAAAAGACAAAGATGGATTTCGCAAATAAGCGCATGAGTGGATTGTTTTCTTGTTTGTACAGTAATTGGCATTTGGCATTCTTCACTAGAACACACAATCTGATGTAGCTTTCATTAGAATGGGGTGATGGCGAGAAAGCCCATCACTTGTGCGTTGCGACAGTTTTAATAGGAAAATAGAAGGTGACGTAATTTATTTGGGTTACAATTAGATCAGAGACTTCATCTAACTTACCAATTGACTTTCTTATCCTGCAACTACGGCACAGTTATTCAGTGGCCGAATGGAATAAATTAAAGGTGATTGGATGCATTTTGCAGCTAGGATATTTACCAATGCAGCATTAAAAAGAACAAATGCGTGTGTGAGTTAAAGTGGGGTTAGCCAATTCAAGGAGTGTGTTTAAAATCTGCTGCTGCCGTTTGCAGGTCCTAAAATTTCGCTCTCGTGAGTAAAGCCGACCATTTTAGTGAATTGCTGAACCTTCAACAAGCGACGGTACTCTTTGATGGTTCCACCTTGTTCCATATTCACGAGACCCACACACTAATCAAAGTATGGCGTTGCACCTTAAATATTGCAACTCTGCCTGGGATTTATACAACGACTCACAGAGTAACTAATTGCAGGACGGTAAGTAAGAGGTCGCTTTGTTGCTTCAGAACATGAACGACTGATTTGATTTTTGTGTCAAACTATCTGAATGCACCTTGACATATTCAGGAAGTTCCTGAAAATAAACATCCTGCCTCTTTGAAACTCAGAAAAGCACTCATTTGACAAATCTCCTCTTTGGCCTGACTGCAAAGTTAG